CCCTGGCTGAATGCTCCTGTTCACCAGTAGGATGGAGCTGCCTGGGGCACTGCTGGGCATGGCCCACATCTCGGACAGCAGAGAGCTGGGAAGAAGCCAGGTGTTATGAAATAAGTTGGCTGGCAACTTGGGTATTGATGGGAGGACTCAGGGAGCACTGAAAGGTGCATTGCTTTGGGGGATTAATGCCTGTCCTGGCTGGAGCTGCTCCTCCCAGCCCTATTTGGCCATATGACTTAATCCTGATCTCTACCCAATCTGTCAGTAATGAACACGTAGAAGATAGAATGCATTCCACCCTGAAGAAGAGGGCTCAGCCAAAAAGCTTCTAACTAGGTCACTGATGAGCAATCTTTCCCCTCCCTCTGTGTCATTTTTATTAATCACTTGAAAAATAGGTTGAGTAATGATTGCAAGCAACTTGTCAAGCCTATTAAAGGCAGAGAAAGGTAGGGCTGTGAAGCTAGAGACAAATGCTGTGCTGGTTTGAAATGAGTGTCTGTAAACCTCACTGACCTGTGAGTAATTACCTCCAAAAAAATTGGCAGTGTGTGTTTCTCAGTGTGAAGGTTTTGATTCTTCTGAATCCACAGGGCAAATAGTTCATTATGATCCAGAGATGGATCACTAGAGCAGAATCACTTTGAGTCTGTTGTAGCTGCCCCTAGTCTGGTTGGACTATCAGCGTATGGACTCTTTGGGTTTGTCAAAGGTTTCATGCACTTTGAGCATGAAATGAAAATAATGCAGAGCACTCACTAGTGAAAGGAGTTTAGTTTGTGTAGCTTCCCTGAACATACATCCCAAAGCTTTATAATCTGTCTAACTCTGTTTTCACTACAACTCCCTGACAGGGTTGGAGAGAGGTGGGGGATGTCCGTCCTGCCATGGCTGCAGGGATAGGACTAGAGGGAATGGCCTTGAGCTGAGACAAGGCAGAGTCAGATTGGATGTGAGGAGAAATGTTTTCCCTGTGAGGGTGTTCAGGCACTGGGATATTGCCCAGGGAGGTGGTGGAGTCACCATCCCTGGAGGTGTTTGAGAGTCATCTGGATCTGGTGCTGGAGGAGATGGTTTAGGGATTAGAGCAGTGGCAGGTCAATGGTTGGACTCGATGACCTTAGAGGTCTCCTCCAACCTTGATAATTCTATGATTCTATTCTAACTGGAAGACAAATGGTCAAATCTTATTTGTTGACCAGTGTTGGACTTTGAGGGGAAAGAGCTGCTAGGTAATCTCACCATCACCTTGGTTCAGTATGTTGAGTTTCCCCACAGTGGTTTCCTCTAGGACTGTTCAGCTAATTCAGCATTGGGTGGTTTTGGTTTATTTTTTTGCCTGTCGGATGGATTATCTGTGCCAGCAACAAATATTTATACTCCTGTATTCCTTTGACTCTGTATCTGTATTGTGTCTCCTGTGAAATAGCTGCCAGCTCTGTGGGTGCTATGAGACAACATTTCTCTTTGGGAGACTGGTGTACAGTGTGTTAGATCCTGCTGTCCAGGATGTGTCTTCCCATCTGTTCCTGGCTCAAATCCTCTTCTCCTCACTTTTAGTCGTTGCTTTTGGTCACCATTCATAGACTGAGATGTGATATTAAGGAGAAAGACACAAGAATGCTGTGCTGCCTTCTCTTGGCCCTGCTCTGTCAGCTGGGTGGCAGTCACAGAAGGCAACTAGTCACACAGATCAATTTTCCTGGGGGATAGTTGAGTGCAGCATTGCTCTAAAACTGTGTCAAGCAAATAGAAAAGCCACATACTTCCCTCCCTCCTCAAAGGAGTAACAGCCCGGGTGAGCAGAGGGCTGGCTCACGAACCTGCCACCTCTACAGCATCAGGGTCTTGTTTTGGGTCCCCTCAGGGTGGGGAAAGGGGCAGCAAGCACAGAGCAGGAGGTGTTAAGTAAAATGAAGCTGTGATTTGCCTCGATGCCATTGGGGAGAGCTTTCCCTGCTCTCTGTAACTCAGTCAACCCTCAGCTTCCCAGTCTTATTTTTCCCTTCCCATTCAAATTGCTGTTTTATTTTTCCCTGTGGGAAGTATCTGTGTGCCTGAACCCACCTGTGTTTTCTGCCTTCCAGAGTTAATGAGCTGTACGTGGATGACCCAGACAAGGACAGTGGAGGTAAAATAGAAGTGAATCTGAACATCAGTTTGCCAAACCTGCATTGTGAATGTGAGTATGCCTTCTCACTGAGCAGTTTTGCCTTGTTTTAGTGCTTGAAATGAGCCCAAACTGGTACAGTGGCCCTTGTTCTGTAACAGAGTGGACAGAGATCAAGTAGCTGCAGCCTTTGCCAATATCTCATTGCCTTCTGTTCCAGGCCAGGACACCTGTTTTCTTGGACCCTGTGCTCACTCTGCAGCTCTTGTTAGTGGCTCAGCTCCCTCACTGGCTTCTTCCTAAATCTCAAATCCTTTCTTTCATAGCCACCTTTTTGTGTCTGGGAGCAAGAAACCTCCCAAGGTTGATTGGGAGTTCTCAATGTACCAGCTGGTTGTTGGCTTTTCCCAGGTCTCCTGCCTTGTCTGCCTGAAGTTTCTTTCTGTGTGTAATTATGATTGCAGTCAGATGGCAGGATATGGGAGCTATTTTTGTCTTGAATGGTGTGAAAAGTTTGGTTGCAAAGTTCTATCTGGTATAACAATATTTGATGAAGAAAGTTACTAGCACAGTTTAGTCCAATGTCAGGGAAAAAAGATGGGGATTTTTCCCCAGTAAAAGCAATGAATGCTTTTCCTGTGCAAGCTCTGTATTACTTCTTTTGTGTTGATTTTTGTGTCTTCTCCCTTCCCACCTGTGCAGTGGTTGGACTAGACATCCAGGATGAAATGGGAAGGCATGAAGTGGGTCATATCGACAACTCGATGAAGATCCCTCTCAATAACGGGGATGGCTGCAGGTTTGAGGGCCATTTCAGCATCAACAAGGTGAGAGGAATGACAGAGGGGAGTGTGTGCTGGCTGGGGAGAGGCTGGCAAATCCACCTGTAGAATGCTCTGTGTGTCAGTGTCTCCTGCAGTGTGTCAGTGCTAAGGTTAAGTCTCGGTGCTGCAGGCAGTGTGGGGAGAGCAGCTGCGTGGCCAGAGCCACAGAGAATGTTAGATCAGGGGTTTTCTTCCCTCTCCAAAGCAGCTAATTGAGATAGAATTGCCTAACAGCAGAGAGCAGCTCTGTGCTGTCACCAGTGCAGCAGCAGCCTAACGTTTAGGGGCTGTGTGAGCTCCCCACCAATGCCAAACTGCTTCTATGTTTACTCCTCATGACTTGTGCACTTCCAAACTGTGACTCAGTGTGGAGAGGTCTTTGGCAATGCCTCTCTCCAAGCACTCCTTTGTTCCAAGAGCCACAGAATGCCAGGAATGTTCCCTCCTAGAGGGTGGCAGCATCACAGAAGCAGCTCCGTGCTGGGACGTTTGGAACAGAGCACAAGGTCTCTGCGCATGCCTTGTTGGGATGCTCCTGCCTCAAAGAATGAAAATCCAGGCCTGGAGGAGGCTCCTCTCTGGGCTGGGTGTGTTGAGGATTGAATAATCTTGCTATGTAATGCTGGAGATGACTAGCTGGGGTGGGGGAGGCTGTGGTGGGACCCGCTGATGTCCTCAGAAAGGCACACCCTTTCTTCACGCCTCTTCATGTACCACAGGCTACAAAATCCTACTTCCTTCTTGTCCTCCCAGGTCATGTTAAATCACATCTAAAAATAACAGGCAGAACCTCTTTCTGATTCTGTGGCATGGAGAGGATTAGGGATGTAAAAAGAGGACGTTTCTTAACCTCTAAGAAACCAAGATTCTTAGTGTCCTGCACTGCAGCCAAAGCAGTGTGGGGAGCAGGTCCAAGGAGGTGATTCTCCCCCTGTGCTCTGCTCTGGTGTGTCCACACTTGGAGTACTGCACACAGTTCTGGTGTCCCAAACATGAGAAGGACATGGAACTGTTGGAGCAAGTCCAGAGGATGCCATGAGGCTGATCAGAGGATTGGAACATCTTCCCTATGGAGAGTGTTGGAGCTGTTCAGCCTGGAGTAGAGAAGGTTGTGTGGAAACCTCAGAGCTCCTTCCAGGATCTGAAGGGACTCTAGGGAAGCTGCAGAGAGACTCTTGGTTAGGAACTGCAGTGACAGGACAAGGAGTAATGGGGAGAAATTGAAAGGGGAAATTTAGATTAGCTATTAGCCAGAAGTTTTCCCTGTGAGGGTGGTGAGACACTGGCACAGGTTGCCCAGGGAGGCTGTGGCTGCCCCAACCCTGGCAGGGTTCACAGCCAGGTTGGATGAAGCCTTGAGCAACCTGCTCTGGTGGGAGGTGTCCCTGCCCAGGGCAGGGGGTTGGGGCTGGATGATCTCTAAGCTCCATTCCAACCCTTTGACATTCTGTGATTCTATGATTCTTGGCAGCTAATAGTCCACCAAACTGAGAAAGGGCTTCTTGAAAGGTAGTTCTTGTTCAACTAATTCCCAAAGCATAGGGCAGAGATCCTTGGGGGTTTGTCTGTAGATGTGCATTCTGCTCACCAAAGCAACTCAAAAAGGAGGTGCTGTATATAGCAGTGAGGAGCTTCCTTCACTGCTTAATCTGTGTCTCATGCAGTGGCTGGGACAGCTGTCAGAGGGAGGGACCTGACCCAGCACTTCTGATCTGGAAACCTGAACCTCTTGTGTGTGACCTGGAAGTCTGCAGTGCCTTGGCAGGAATTGGACAGGCTTCTGTGGTCTGGAATGGGACCTGGCCTGGCTCTGAAACCTGACCAAGGGCTGCACTTGGATGCTATTCTCAAGCGTGAAGAGGGAGGACAAGGTGACAGTGAGATGATCATGTGTGCTACTTACTGCAGAGTCTGCCACCCTATTTACTGTGGTTATGACACAGCTTGTGTCCACACCTGAAAGTACTCCCAGGAGTGCTCTGCTGTTCCTCAAGTCATTAAATTAGCTTTCCTGAAAGCACATGGAAGGAGCATGTGGCCTTCCATGGCCCTGCTGGTGAGCTGTCTCTGCAGAGAGCACCATGGGCACAAGTTGTATAACCATCCTCCCACTCTTGGCCTGGGCCATGCCACATTGCTCCTCAGTGTGGCTTCGTTTCACAACCTTTTCTCAATAGGAAAATATTCTTGCACCTTCTGGAACTGTGATTGAGCTGTATCTGCTGAAGGGCTTTGTGTTGTTGGGCTGGTGGCCTGAGAAGTGTGTGCAGGCTAGAGTGATCCCATCAGAAAGACACCAGTGCCCATTGTTTCTTGGAACTGAGTATTTAGGTGAAATATCTATTTTCATAACTTTTTTTTCCCTCTGGTTGAAAAGCTAAACCCAAAAACTCCTGTGCTTGGAGGAACTCCTACCAGGGGCTGGGAACTGAAGATCTATGTGGGTTTGTATAGGAAACTTCCTTGATGTTGGTGGTGTTTTTCCTCTTTGTATATAAATCTCTTCCTTACATAGTCTTCTCCAATGTCAAGTTACTTATGACCAGTGCTGCAAGAAGAACATATGCACATCTTCCTGGGCTGTTCAGCATTTGCAAATGTGAGATGTGGGAGTAAAACATGAAGCAACTGTTTGTTGCCTGTCAGAGACAGGAATTTTATTACAATAGGAATGAAAGACATAGCCTTAAGTGTTAGGAATCCCTGAAGTTGGGAGGGAGCCACTCATCACCTCCTAGTGAGCAGCACCAGCACTGTGAGGGTTCTAGACTCTTAGACTGCAGGATGTAGCTGATCTCCTCTCTGCCTGCAGCTTGGTCAAGTGCAGGAGTGTATCCCAGAGCCTTTCTCTGATGTGCCACTGCTCAGTAGGTCCAGCTTGCTAAGCTGGATGCAGCCAGGCATTTCCACCTCATATCACAGAGCCTAGCAATGCCTTGAAGGATAAAATGTGAACTCCTGTCTTCCTTGTCTTGACTAATTTTAGGTCCCTGGCAACTTCCACGTGTCAACACACAGTGCCACTGCACAGCCCCAGAACCCTGACATGACTCATGTCATCCACAAGCTCTCCTTTGGGGACAAGTTACAGGTGAGCTCTCTTCCCTTGAAATGTAGAGGAATGCAATAAGAAGGATTTAATATTATACACTTTGGGTTCATGGAAGGGCCATGCACAGTGTGGGAAGGCCATGAGAAAGGACTCCCTGGGTCAGCAAGTCCATTCCTTGTGTCCATGCAATGTAAGCTCAATTTGGAAGAATTTACAGCTGGTTTTTCCTTCAGGATGAGGGGAGCTGAACCAGCTGTGGAGGGGGAGCTGAACCAGCTCTCCTTCAGGGAGGAGCAGTGTCCACTCAGAGAGTAACTTTGCTGTTTTCATCTGAAACTTAAAGTGCTTTGGGAAAACTCTGTGACTCTCTGCAGAGCCCAGAGAAGTTGGTCCCACTGTCTTCCTGCAGGGAGTAAGAATGAGGATTCATGACTTTGGAGAATCCCATGCAGAGCTGTTTTCAGTATTAAACCAGCAAACAAGTCTTTCTGGCCTCACAGAAGAGCAGTGAGTGTGCTAAGGGAAGATGTGTGCTTGCTACTGTCTTTACCACAGCACCAGTCAAGGTCTTTTTAATTCACTGTAGCAGACACCTATTAGTCAAATTTGTTGTATGAAACACAAAGTTAGACTTAGAACTGCCAATTCCCTGCTGGGAAGAAGCTGAATATATTCACTTGCCCAGTGGATAGAGTTTCACCAGGTGTTGCAAGTTATGTAATGTTCCCTGGTTTCCCAATAAGGACACATTACAGCACTTCTCTAGCCTACTTCCAAGGAGCTGGCATCACAGGTGGGAGTTACACATGTGCACACCCAGTTTGAGACTCACCCTAAACATTGCTTACCCATAGTCTCTCTGTAATCTTCTTCCCTCAGCACAGACGTCTCATTAGTCTGCTGCTTGTACACCCACTCCCAAAGCCCTTTTTCATGCTAACAAGTCTCAGCATTGCTTTGTAGTCCTTCTGATTCTGCTCCTGGCTTCTTTTAGGAAAGATCCTGTGTGGGAATGGTAAGATATTAGCATATAAATGAGCTTGGCTTAATGTCTGTAAAGCACTCTGAGATGATGAAAAATATTAGGTAAGTGCTAATAGGGAGTTCTGTGTGGGAAATCAGTGCTCTGAGGGAGCATTCCCATTGTTTTATCATGGAGGCCTGGAGGGATGGAACTGAAGGGTGAATCAGCATGAAGGAGCAGCCTGAATAGTTGGGGGCAAAGCAACAAGTCTTCAGTTCTGGTGGTGAGAAACCTGTCTAGCAAACAGGTAGTTGGCTCCTGATTTGGACAAGTTGTGAGTAGCATTTTCAGAGTTCAACATACCTACTCATCATCTCCATCCGTGAGAAGGGAGCACAGAGGTGCTGCTGATCCTGGAGGCAACAGGAGCACAAATTAAAGAAGGATATGTTCACCAAACAGGTGCTACCAAGACTCATGCAGCAGTGAGAGGCAGCAAGTGCAGAGAGCCTTAAATCTGTCTACATACACCTTGGAATATCTTGGGCTGTCTCCACCTGCTTTGATGCAATATATGCTTCTGTTTCTTAAAGAGGGTGAAGAGCTTCTCATTCCCTTGTGTCATGTGCTGAGAGTCAGTTCTTTGTAGGTTGTTCCCAGCTCTGCCAAATGCAGGCTGTGTTCTCCAGAAAAACCAGTCTGCTTGAAACAGAGATTTGAATCTCATCTGGCTCTGAATGAGCTTCAAGTCTTCATCGGTAGTTCGTGCACAAGAGTGGCAGATTTGTAGCTTTGCCTTCATGTAGATGAGACCAAAATCAAACGCTTGAGTTCTTGCATGTCAGGTAACCCAGTAAAGAGGGAGATGTGAAAATTAGGAGATTGTGTGGTTTTAATCCAAATTTCTCTTGATCATGGTGTTGAATAATGCCAGTTTTAACCTTCTGAGGGGTCTTGTCTTCCCTTGATAGTTCATGTTAGAAGTTATTTCAACCTGTTGGTCTCTGCCTGAGTTATATGTCCAATTATCTATCATTGCCTGTGTTTGTAGAGGTTAAAGCCAAGGGTGTCCAAGGCCCTAGCAAGCACCTTTGAGGCCCATGTTATGGAAGAACAAAGTGTTGGCGCTG